CCCGGTTCCGGCATCAGCTGGGCGCCGCGGCCCGGTACCGGCGTCAACTGGGCGCCGCCATCTTTTTATGACGAAACAGCGCTTCCGGTGAGCTTTCTACCCGGAAAAGCTCACCAGAAGCGCTTTTTTACCAAAAAAAGATGGCGGCGCCCAGCAACCAGCGGCCCGGTAAGGCTTGTTCCGCGGCCCGGTACCGGTCCGCGGACCGGCGGTTGGGGACCCCTGCTCTACCCTATCCATTAATGTTTCCCCTTCAGTCAACCACATAGTCGGCCGTTCTATTTTGAGAGCAACGTCCTTCACGCCACAGAACGAGGAACACCAGAGAGTCATCAAGGCTTAATGGATCTCCTGGGCACCCGGCCAGAGAAGGAACACCCTTCGGTGAAGGGTGAAGGAAGTTGCTTTCTGAAGGCCGGGGAGAAAGACTCCAGGGCCATCATCAAAGGAGGCCGTCCCTTCTCCAAACCATCAGGTGCTCCTCACAAAGCATCAGGAGATGTTGGCGGTGTGACAAACAGCGTTGACCACAAGGTTCTACCAGCCAAGTAGCCGCACAGAGGAGATGCTTCTTGTGGTTGCTAGCTCTTCAGAGGGGGCAGCAACTCAACCCAGAGGCACAACCGACACCCTTCACACTCACAACACAAGCAAAGAAGAATCCAATCACGGACAACGTTATGGCAAGAGATCCTAGCAGTTATTCCAAGTTCTTGGTTTTTTTCCTGCACCACCAGGGCTTGTTATCCTACAATGAGTCCTCGAATTACAACCACTGTTCACTGAAAAAAATGACCGATGGCCAGTCCCCGTACCTACGACCGTCACAATATCCCCAGTCACGTGATCAAAATTCAGCGTGCATTGATGACGGTTGCAATGGGCTCACGCGATCCCCATTCATGTTGTGACTGTTCGGCATCACCCCGGCACTGGAAGAAGTGACCGATGGCCAGTCCTCATGCCTACGACCACCACAATATCCCCGTCACAGTCATGTCATCAAAATCTGGGCATTTTAGCAACTGGCTGCTGAATCCTGGGGTCTCACGTGACCTTCCCAGCCAGCTTCCACTAAGCAAAGTCAACTGGGAAAGCTAGATTCGCTTAACAACCATGTGATTCACTTAATGAAAAGATGCCAAGTCAGGCGCGGCTCACTTAACGGCCGCCTTGGCTAAGCAATGGAAATTGTGGAAGCCATAAGCTGTGGACTACCAATTCAATTTGCATTCGCCAGGTCATCTGAGTCCCAAATCTCTTTTGAAGGTCTGTCATTACTTGGAACGGTCGACCGGTCGTAAACCAAGGATTACCCATAGTGATGGGAAAGGATGACGCACAGGCAGAGGGAACCACTGAGCATGGTAAAATCTCTGCTCCCTTTTCTTTTCAATGCCTTTTGTTAGCATGGAGGCAGACCGATTTATTTCCGCTTTATCTACGTCAACACTGAGACTTCAGCTGCTGAAATGTCAGAGATCTCCGGCTAATTTTTGGCTGAGATTTAAAACAACAACCCAGCCCTGGGGCAGTGTGAAAATTGCCCACTTACCCACCCACGTGTCTGTGCAAACTCAAGACGGCTGCATTTTTGGGGGCCTCAAAAACGAGGGGAAAAAAAGAGTTTTTTGTTTTTTTTGTCCTGGCAAAGCAGAAAAACCTCCAAACAAATCAAACTTGGATTTTTAATGATCTCTCTCTCTCTCTCTCTCTCTCTCTCTCTCCTCCCTCTCCCTCTC